CCACTTCCACGTCGCTGCGACCCACATGCCTCTTCAGCAACTTAAATCCGCTCTTCACTCACCGCACGCACAAACACACAAACATACACACACGGTGTTACCAATCCCAGGACAACCAAGGTACAGGGAACGGGCGAGCTCATGCGAACCAAGAGAGGAAGGGACGCTCTCCAGTCCCGCCCGGCCCGGCACCCACCTGCAGGCCGCGAGCCCGAGGGCGGCGGCGCCGGCGCCCCGTCCTCGCCGAAGACGAGTTTGAAGTCGAGCTCGTCGTGGGCGCCACAGTTTGCAGTAGTCATCGGCGTGGCCCAGGGTGCTTGCGGCTCCTCCTCTGGCGGCGGCGGCGACGGAGGCGGCGGAGGCGGCAGCTCTTCAGCGCCGCTTCATGCCGGGCCGCGCGGGCCAGGAGGTCGCGGCTCCGCGGCAAAGTTTCCGGGCGGAGACCGTGACACCGAGCGTTCCGTTCCAAACTCGAAAGCTGGCCGCGCGCCGAGCAGCACCAGGAGCCGCCGCCACAGTCTGTCGCTGGTGCCTAAGCCGCCACGGCCACCTTAGCAGATATTCTCCGCCCACAACAGCCGCCTCCGCCAGCGCGCTGCCGCGCAGTGTAGCACGCCTAACCCCGCCCCCTACTGCGCGCCCAGACACCGTGCTGCCCATAGGTCACTGGCGCCACAGCTGCCCAAAGGCTCCGCCCCCTCACCGGCCTACCGCGTGATTCCCTCTCCGGGAGAAGGAAGTCACGTGCACAAAGAGAGTAGGATAGCCCCACTACCTCCTGGGAGTTGTAGTTCGGCCACTATTCTCTCCTCAACTTCTAAACCAGGGCCCTCTAATTGGATTTGAGTGCAATCCAATCCACCCGCCAATCGAAGATCCCTTTCCTTATTGGGCAGAGCTCACGTCGAGTGGGGTTATGGGTTTGGTGATCGGCGGCCGAAATGTTGCTCTGATGGCTAGGTTTGGGGAAGGTGTTAGGGCCGGAGAGGGTTATGTGAACGCCACTCACGCACTCATCCTGCCACCCCAACCCTAATGGTGGAGTCTAGGGATGGCAGGGCTGGGCCGAGCCTTCAGCTAGAATGAGGCGGAGTCGGAGGAAACCTGCGCAGCAGCCGGAGGAGTCCCGAGTCTCGGCTCCTCAACAATGCAGACCCACCCCTTCGGGGCGGGGCCCACGCCGGGTGGCAGTGCCTTTGTCTGTCCCTACCAGCTGGCAGCTGCTCTCTGGAGGACAGCCGCCGCATTCGAGGCCTCGGCAAAGCCCCACGGGCAAGGTCGGTCCATGGCTGGAAGTCGAAGCCGATTGATCCAAAAAACCGGTGGTGAACTCAGCATCCCGGTGCACATCCGTGAAAGCGAGAGGACCCACTACCCAAACTGGGTGGTTGTTAGTGGAGAGGAAGTGACACCATGTCTGAAGAACTGTTTTTCGCTCTCGGTCCCTCCCCAGCGGGCTTGTCTCCCCGTGAGACCAAGGATGCCTCCTCCTGGGCCTGGGGTGGAGGCCGTGCCAAGGGACGCTGAGCCTCGCTTGTTTACTTAGGGCTCCTTCAAGACCGTGTGGACTGGGAGCTGGGAGAAGTGGCAGTGACCTACTTCCCTAGCTCCAGGCCCCATAGGGCATAGTATCTCTAGAAGCAAGTTGCTGTAGGAACCCAGGGCGCTAGGTCTCAGAGGCTTGGGTGCAGGTGCAAGGGCACAGGCACTCACCCACAAAAAGGTGAAGAGGACAAAGTGGAATGCTTTATAGAAAGGTCTCAAAATATGGGGCACCTGGGTGGCTCAGTGGGTTAAAGCTTCTGCCTTCAGCTCCAGTCATGATCTCAGGGTCCTGGGATCCGGCCCAGCATCGGGCTCTCTGCTCGGTGGGGAGCCTGCTTCCCCCTCTTTCTGCCTGCCTCTCTGCCTGCTTGTGATCTCTCTCTCTGTCAAACAAATAAATAAAATCTTAAAAAAAAAAGAAAAGAAAGGTCTCAAAATATGAACTAAAGCTCAAGCTACCAGGGAGCCCTAGGGTAGGCCTAACTAGGCCTTGGGTCAGGACAGGTAATGTCCAGAGTAGATGAGATGCTCATCTTGGATAGGTTCATCCTTGAGGTCAGAAAATCTTTCCTGCCCCAAGCTCTGTACACATACCTGAGCTGGACCTAGGGAAGCAGAGATAAACTGGTCTCCCTTCAGGGGTTGGGGGAAAGGAGGCCAGCAATTCTATAATCACTATGCAAAGAAATTAGGAATGTACCAGGATCTCCAGGAAGGTTCATAATCCCCTGGGGTTGCAGGGCCTCCAAAGGACTAAGTAGGAACTGGAAAGATGACTGAGAGGTGAGGAAGATAATCCAGGCAGATAACAGATTTAAAAAACTTAGAAATCAGAAAGCACTGGCACTCAGCAGAAGCCGAAGGTAAGGCCAGATGAATGGGCAGAGAGGAACAGTCCACTGCAAAGTATCTAGACTTTATTTTGAGACCAGTAGGGAGCCATGAAAGGAATGAAAGCAACTTACATATTCAGAATTCTGGCAAAGGGGGAGGTTAGGGACACAAGAAAATAACAGGGGTCAAAGAGAGGGAGTAGGGACGCCTGGGTGGCTCGGTTGGTTGGGCGACTGCCTTCGGCTCAGGTCATGATCCTGGAGTCCTGGGATTAGGTCCCACATCGGGCTCCCTGCTCGGCGGGGAGTCTGCTTCTCCCTCTGACCCTCCCACTTCTCATGCTCATTCTCTCTCTCAAATAAATAAATAAAATCTTAAAAAAAAAAAAAGAGAGAGAGAGAGAGGGAGTAATCAGCACTGTGTGGTTGAAATATCCTAATGAGCAATTTCAGGATGTGTTGTGGTCCCCCTGCCTAGACCGCTCCCCAAAATACTTCCCTAGGTTGTCATCTGGATTGAGGAAACAGACCTTTATCTATCCCCTCTGCCCTCCAAACCAGGGACTCAACTAGCCAGGCCAGGGGGAATGCAAGAGATAGATTCTGGACCGATCAGTCCCACCACTGGGAAGGGACCACACACAGAAGCTAGAGATGGCTTAAAAAATTCACCCATTCTCCAAATGTATACATCCGTGCATCTGTGCAATCCATCTGTGTATCCCAACCACTGTGCAGCTGGAGAACACTCAGAAGGGATTACGTTTTAGGAAGGTTTCTGGTCTGGAGGAAACTGAGAGCTCTAAGCTGGATAAGGGCTGGAGCCACGGTGGGCACTGACTGCAGGAAAAGTGTTATCATCTTTGTCAGAAAGGCAGCAATGGCTAAGAGCCCTGCAGGCTGGAACGCAGGCCCACCCCACTCACATGGTCTCTCTACCCCTTTTCCTCAGCCAGGACCTCCCCTATCCGCTCAAAAGCTCTTGTAAATGGCAGGAAGCCATCTGACCTGCCTCCAGCCTTCTGAGAGCCCTGTGAAACCAGGTGGCCAGGGGACTACCACAGTAAATAGGACCCCAGACTGATGGACAAGGACTATGTGGGTTTCTGTATACTCCTCTCCCTCCTATGTGAATGTGAGTCAAGCCTGAGATTTAGCGGAAGCCATTACTTTCATAGGCCTGGTCCTGAGCCCCCACTGTTGAAGGCTCTCCTGTGGCCTCTGAGCCATGGGATGGTACAGCTTAGCTTAGCCCAGCCTAGCACCTTTTGTTCCACAATAGGGGAAATAGGAGCCTTGGAGGAAAGTCAGGGTTTAGAAAACTTCTTTCTTTCCATGCCACATATCCCATTCAACAAGCTTGTCTGATTGTTCTTTTGTGCCTGCTCCCCACACCCACACCAAGGCTGGCCATAGCGGCCACAAGAACTGCCCTTGAGGAGCCCCCAAGCTGGGCAGAGGCAATACCGGCCAACTACAACTGAAGAACATTGGTTGCTGAGGTCAGCACAGAGTGCTGAGAAGACAGGGTCAGCACTTTGTCCTCAGATACTAGCCTGAGGAGTTTGGACTTGATCCAGAGGGCAGTGGAGAGCCACGGAAGGGTTCTGAGCAGGACTGACACCTGGAAAGAACTAAGTGTGCAGGGTTAAAAGATTCCCCACTCATCTGTGCACGAAGTCCAGTCTTGCTGGACTTCAGAAGATGTGCCACCCGCTCCAGCTTTAGTCATCCCTCCTTCTCATGCCCAAAACCATGTGTCCCCGAAATGTGATGAGCTATGAGTAAGTCTTCAGTCTAGGTGGCTGGAATGGATGAATACGTATTATAGACACTGGCCCATAGAGGGCTTTGGGCATCTAAGTGTCCTAAATTTAAGGTGGGCATGGTGAGAACAATGAGAAGAGTTTTCAGACCTGACTGGGCCCTCCCAGTCGGTCCCAGACTTGTGCAGGTCACTCTGAGACCAGGGCAGGCCTCACTCAGGTATGCTAACGTGAGACCATTTGAAAGCCAACATATACCTGGGATATACTTGGGATCTTGGCCAGATATCCTTAATTATGAAATGCACATGAGCCCCTTTCCACCTGCTCCCCTGTGAATGACCCTCTCCCCAGTGCTTTTCCTTGGCCCTCTAACTTCCCATATTCCAGCCTCTCTTCTTATTTTTCTAGACTCTATCTTAACAGCTGAGCTTCACCCTGCCTCTCCTTCCCCAAAACCCAGAAATAAACCTAACCCCACCAGAGAAGGGGCTTCCCCAGGGAAAGTACACTGGTGGGAGAAAAGGCGGTACAGCCCAACCCCACAGGAGACTTGGTATTTGGCTACCACAGGGTCCTTCCACAAGCTCTATCTAGCTCAGGATGCCCAGGGGTCCACTAGGGCCACCCTGTCTGCCCTGTTCCAGTTGGGATCTAAGGAAAGGAGGCATTTTAACGGAGACAGTTTTTTTGTGAGAAAAATCAGACAGAAATTGTACCTAAAGCTTGATGGCTGAGACTGGACCAAGCCTCAACTGTCTCCTGGGTGGGGTCCCTTCTCTTGGAGCGCTAGTCTAGGAAGCTAGGGCAGCCCCAGCATGTAGTGACCCCATTAGCCACACAGTGCCCCAATCACAGGCCTATTTATCCTCCAGCCAGCCTCCTGCAAGCAGAGAGCAGCTGATCTCCCTCTCCTCTGAGGGCCCTCAGGCCCAAAGAGAGCTAGAAGTGACTTTCCCAAGGTCAGACGGCAATGGGCTCTGGGAGGCAGCTGGTAGTGTGGTATCCTTATCTGCATACAGAAGAACAAGTGTGAGGGGAAGGGCGGTTCAGGGACTGAGACGGAGGCCTCACATGCCTGATCTTTCATTCGGGCCACCAGGGCCAGCAGCCTAGCACAGGGGCCTGACCCCAGGGACAGGAGAGAAACATAGCCTTGGCCTGGAGGGGAACGCCCCTCCCCAAAGAACTTGGAAAAGGGGAGGAGAAGTAGTGTGTTTACAGTGGAGGAAGCGGGGGTGGTGCAGGGCAGGGACCTTTGGTCAGAACGCCCCTCCCAGTAAGAGGGGGAGGCCCCATGAGATGTGGTAGCCGTTTATTTGCTTCTCACTGCCAAGAGGAAATTAAAGAGAATCTGCCACTTCCTTCCGGCCCAAGTGGGATAGTGGGGGCTGGTGGCAGGCAGTGGCGTGGGTGGGCAATTGTGAGGGCCCTAAACTGCTGGCATCAGCAACGTGTGTCCTCAGTGTCCCCTGTCTGGAGCAAAGACCTCATCAGGTCTGGGCTCCAGCTAGCTAGGGGTCAAACCCAGGGCCCCCCACACTCACCAGAGCTGGTCCCTTCCGGGAGCACCAGATACCCTAATTGTTCCCCAGATTCTATAGCACATCTCATCATGAAAATTCATTGATGGGCAGTACCTCAGGTTTGCCATCAGCAGAATGGGCTTCTTGGGCCTTCCTGGCTCATCCCAAGTCCTGTGTGCATTCAAGATGATACCCCATCCCCCACTTCCACGCAGACCCAGAAGGATATGCTTTAGGGAACTCCAACTCCGCACAGAGGATGGAAGTAGAATAATTACGCCAGGCCCTGTGTCTGTGTGTGAAGATGCCCAAGGCTAAAGCAGCCAGCTGCAGGGAAGGGTGGGGTGATCTTTATTGCACTGTATCAATGTCAGGTTGAGGAGGTGCCAACTGAAAAGCTCCTGTTTTCAAAGAAAATACTGAGGTCACTGGGAACTCGGCCTTGCTACTCAGACCCACCAAGGGAGATGTGCACCTAGGCACCCTTTAGCCTGTACTCCAGGCTGACAGCCCCGGTCAGGACCTCGTAACTCCTGCCAGGAACAGTCAGAGAATTGTCCGATGGCATCTGGTTCATGGTCTGCACCCACAGACATCTTACGGCCAGGCTCCTGAAGCAGGTGACCAAGGTAGGGACAATGCTCACCAGCCTCCCAGGGGGCTCTCTTCACCACTTCCCAAGGCCACAAAGAGCTTCTTGCACAGCTCCCCAGGCACCGCATGCTCCTGATTTCTGGAACCCTCAGGGTCTTGGTCAATGGCCTCCCGCTTGCGCTTGTGCCAGGAGGGGCTCTCCTCGCCCAGGCGACCCTCAGGGAGGCCCCGGCTCCGCAGACAGACGATGGCCGCAGCCTGCTCCGCCAATTTCTTAGACTTGTCCCTGGGCAGATGAGGCATGGGACAATAAGGCACGTAGGTAGGTAGGCTGGTTGCAGGGCAAGAAGCTGGACAGGCCTGACTCTATAAACCCTTGGCAAAGATTCTAACAAGACCGAGGAAGGGGGTATTCACCCGGGGATATCCACTGCCCAGGTACACCATCCTCCCCAAACCCTCTTCGGCCAAGGCTCAGTTCAGGCCCTTCATCCCAAGCCCCAAGTCCACTGATAAGGAAACTCACCACAAGGTAGACTGGTACTTTTGCTCAGCAACAGTCACGACAGAGCAGAAAAAGCGATCCAGGGGGCGCTGAACCTGGTGCAAAGAGAGGAAAGGAAATAGGGATGGCTGCATGGGGGCAAGAGGAATGAGTCCTGGGGCTCACCTGCTAGGATCACATGGAAGACAGAAAAAGGGAAATACCTCCCACCTAAGTTAAATGAAGGCCACCCGTATAACATGGTCCTCCCCAGGAGAAGTGCCTGGTGCGTCTGCCGAGGAAGAAAGGCAGACACATAACCAATGACACTCCAGTGTGTCAGGAGGTCAATCACGTACCTAAGCCAAGGGCCATCAGAGCCCTTAGCAGCACGTGACTCTGGATCCTGCTCCTACTGACATCTGGATGGGCCAGGTCACACAAAATGAGGAGAAATTCACCAGATGGCAAAGGGGTGAGAGGGGTCAAGGATGGGGCAGAGAAGGTACACTTGGCAGAACAACCAGGTGATATGGCTGGACAAAGAGCTGAGTGGATGAGACAGGAAGCAGAAAGACATGTGGGGAGCCTTGCGCTCTGTGCTGAGGTGCTAGGGCTTGACCCCAAAGGCACTGAGGAGAGGAGACTTGAGCAGGAAGGCAGAGGACAGATTTGTTCTGGAAAAGTCACTCTGGGAGAGGCGGACACAAGTCCTGGAAGAAGATCAGAGGTAAGAAGGCTAGTCCAAAGAGACAGAGCAACCTAAATAAGGCATGGCCATGGGGACCAAAGGAGGTGAAGCAAGACTGTCTTAAAGTTTCCACCATGGGGCCTCAAGTCTGGGGCCCAATTCTGAGCCCTACTGGCTGAGTCCTGGTCCAGACACATGTCTGTCTAACTTAGGTTTGAGCATCCTTCCTAAGTAAGCCACCTGGTCCTTTCCAGAGAAGTCTCCCTGGTCTAAGCAATACCACCGGCAGAGACTGGCCCAAGCAGCCCCCTTACATAGGTCTCAAGTTCAATTTTATGAAAGTGGTCAGAATTTGACAATAAGCCCACAGATGTCACAGGGAAGGGACTATCACATCAGCAACAGTCAGGCCGCCAGCAACCACTGCCGTGTCCACGGAGGGCAAAGCCAGGCTCCAGTCAAGCAGTCTGGAATTCAGGGTACGAGCTATGGATATGCTGGGAGCGATGGCACCGGCTGTGGGAGGCACTGTAGAGCAGGATGCAGGGCAGGCCACAGCCAAGAACTCACCGTGTCATACACAGGCTGTGCCAGCTTCTCCTTCCGGCACCATTCCAGCAGGCACATCTTGGGGGTGATCTGCGGTGAGTATGCTCTCCTAGGACAAGGAGGGGAAGGAGTCAGGCCTTGCCCACAATCACCACCAGGTTGCTGCCTTAGGACTCCTGTACTTATTCCCCTGAACTCCCATTTCTGTCCTCCCACCAGTGGTGTGGGGTCTGGATTCTACCTAAAGGGAAGATGGGCTTCAGCATGCTTGGGGAACTAGGACACAAAGTGAACTCCCAGCACTCTGAACTCTAACCTGGAAAACAACTTTCAATAGTCAAAAATGAAAGTCCAGGGGAGCCTGGGTGGCTCAGTTGATTGTCCTAACTGTTGATCTCAGCTCAGGTCTTGATCTCAGGGTTATGAGTTCAGGAACCCCGCTGGGCTCCATGCCCAGTGTGGAGCTTACTTAAAAAAAAGAAGAAGAAGAAGATCCAGTTTGCCTCTCAAGACAAGCCAGAGGGATCAGGTGGGGGTTGGGAACATAGGTGGCCAAGTAGTGGTCTGGGATCTAGCTCAGTACCCACCCTTATTACGTCCCCTGAGTTGTGGGACAAGGCGAATCAAGGAAAGAAGTTTGGTCACCCCAGGACAACACCCCTGACAGTGCTGCCTGCCCTTTAGGAACCATCTTCCCCAAACTGCCTTCTTTGGGATGCTGAAAAATGAGAACAAGGATCCAAACGAAGAAGACCTGTGATCCCTGAACTTGACATTAACCATGTATAGCAATCAGCCAGCTGAGGCCATGGGCCCTGACCAAGCAGAGGCCAACCTTGAGACCTACCGGTCAAACTTGACAGCCATCTTAATGACACCTGAGGTGTCTTCAGCTGGCTCTGCCGCAGCCTCTGGGGTTCTGGCCAAGAGTTCAGCCCGCCGGGCATTTAGCTCTCGTGTCATCTCCTCGTAGAAGGCACCAAGGCCAAAGGCCTCACTGTGGAAAGACAAGCAGAGCACAGCAAACCCTTTAGTAGACCCAGCATCCAGGAAACTACTGCAAGAGCCCAGGGTCTCACCGCTGAGAAATGACCATCCCACCCTCCTGCCCCCTCCCCCACACACGAAAACACCACTGAGACCTAGCCATCAGGAGGTTCCCTTACCTACCCCTGGGATCAGCCTTGACTGGCAGAGAGTGAGTGTGAGCCTCTGAGGCTGGACACTGGAGGGCAGGCTGGGCTGGGTGGAAAAGGCTGTAAAGGTCACCTCTACCACCTGAGCCCAGCCTCTCTTCCAAAGAAGAAAACACAGGCAAGTGTCCCCAGCCAGCAGTGAGCGAACTGAACAAGTGCCTGGGTTATACACAGCCCCATCCTCATGTGGGCCCAAGGGAGGAAGAGACAGAGGCCACGACCACTAAGTGGTTCCCCACTTCCTGCCCGAGCCACAAGTAGTTAGGCCTAGCCTAAACTGAGGTACCACCCAGAACAACAGAGTTATACTCTTTCTCTCAGACTCACAAGATACCCGAGTCAAGCTGGTTAAGCTATGTGAGGTAGGGACAGAACCAACACCGCAAGCCCAGGTTTGGGAAGAGAGTTCTGACAACTCTTTTCCCTTCTAGCAAGCATCTTGAAGGCTAAAGCATATTCATGAGGATGGGTACCTGGGCACAAGTGTGGTTTAGGAAAGTTTCTCTAAGGAGGGAGGAGGAAAAAGCATTCAGGCAGAAGACCCAGCATGAGCACAGATGTGGAGCTGGGAAAACAGACAAGCAGACAGGGAGCCAGAGGAATAGGTACCAGGCCAGGTTGTGAGGATCTACACCAAATGCAGGGGACCAAGGGGGAGCTTCCCAGACTGCAGTTATGGGTTGAGGGCACAGACTCAGGCCAGGGGCTCAATTCTACAACCTCCACCTCCTGATCATTGGGTCTAGTATGTAACAGATCTTTTACCATGAAAGCCCCTTCCTCCAGAATTCCCAAGCCCAGCCCAGCCCCCATATTCCTCCATCCTACCAGCATTCTACTTCCCCAAATTCTGCTGTGAGGTCAGTCCAAGGATGGAAAGTTCCAAAGCTTCATTAAGTTTCCTCTTCTGTGAGGTGAAACTGTACCACAACCCCACTCCTATACATCCACCTCCAGAAGCTGCATCCTTGGTCCCCGCAATCAGTTTAGGGCTCATAGTCAAGCCTGGCAAAGTCTGCAAGGAATGACGGACAGCCATTGCCCCTCTCACCAAATTTCCTGGGAAGACTGGGCAGCATGGAGCAACCTTCCCTGGGGCGACTCCAACTGTTCTCGTAGCATCTGGCACAAGCAGTACTTGGTGTTGGTGTAGTGGTTCTCATACTGTATGGCCTGAGGGAAGAAGCAGCATGAGCCCACTTGCTGCCCAGGCAGGCTCTGAGGCCTGAGCTATGCCCTGATGGCAGAGAAAGGGGCTCCAAGGGGACAGCAGAGGTGGGCCTGCAGTTGGGGCACTGTGAGGCCATATGGAAAACCACCTCCATCCTGGCCATCTACTCCTCCAGCGAGCAGTACAAAGCTCAAGAGTCACAGCTGAGATCCAGGGTTAGGAGCATGCTCAACCAGACAGGCCAAAGGACGTCCAGATGTATAGGGAGCACCTCCTGCTTCAGCCACCACAGGCTACCACGGAGGACTTGCTGCTCTTCCAGGGCAAGGACAGGGAGCAAGTCAGATTCTGGTGTGGCAGGAGCCACATCAGGATAGGGGCAAGATTCTTCTGTTTCTATACACAGTGGATACCTTCCTTGCCCACATCTTAAATAACCTGTCTCCAACATCCCACCTGCATGGGAAAGCACAGCACCATCTACCAATCATGTTCACATGTGACTTGTCCCCTCATTGAGTTTCACAAGTCTCACAAGCGTGAGGTGCAGCTGTTACCACTACTCCTGACAAATGCAGGCTCAGGGAGGCAAGCTGACTGCACAGAGAAGCACACTAGAAGCCTGCCTGGCTGGGGCAGATAGAAAAGCACTGGGTGAGAGATGCCCTGGCCCTCTAGAATACCCTCCCAGCCCTCACCCTCTATACCCTTCTAATATCCCCACCTAGGCCTATGTCTTCAGCACCTGGGAAGGCGGTATGACATGAAGAAAACAAAGCCCCAATCTGCTGGCAAGCCCCAGCTAGTGGCAAGGCCTTGATTCAGCTTGTCGGGGACAGAAGGCACCTGGCTGGACGAGAAGCAGCCCTGCCTTTGCTTGCAAGCCACTCCTTTCCTCCAGGACAACAGCTCTTGAGGAGCTGCCAAAGGACACACTAAGTGGGAATGATAACATCACCTTTCACAGGGAGCAGTGCTGAGTGTATCTTCCCTGCTACAGATGTGCCAGCCAGCTGCAAGAGCCAGACAGGTGGCCTGGGCTAAGGCAACGCCCCCTTTGTCTCTGGCTGGCCCAGAGTATGGGAGAGCACAGTAGTCACCAACCTGCCCAACAGGACATGTGAAACCCAGGGAATAAGGGCTGTAGCATCAAGCAGGGGAGGCTCTAGAACAGAAACTGCCTATCTCTGGACAGAAGCCTCAGGGCCTCCTACCATTAGTAGCTTGCACAGTCCTGGGGATACCCATAGGCCATGGTGGCCACAGCAACCACAGGCATGGCCAGGGCCTCAAGAGGGTATGGGCAGTCTGAGGATCTGAGAAGCTCTTGACCCTCCCAGAAGGGTGTGAGCCCCAGTATTGAAGAGGATGAGGGCTGGACTCTCTGCTCGGGCCCAACACACCAAAGAATTAGAAGTCCACTGACTAGGGGCACCTGGGTGGCTCAGTGGGTTAAGCCTCTGCCTTCAGCTCAGGTCATGATCTCAGGGTCCTGGGATCGAGCCCCGCATCAGGCTCTCTGCTCAGCAGGGAGCCTGCTTCCCTTCCTCTATCTCTGCTTGCCTCTCTGCCTACTTGTGATCTCTGTCAAATAAATAAAATCTTTAAAAAAAAAAAAAAAAAAAGAAGTCCACTGACTATCTCTGCCTGCAGACATGTTCAGAGTCTCACAGAATTCTAGGATTGTGCCAAAGGGACAGGGCAGGTGAACTGGTAAAAAGTTCCTTCGGAGGTAAATGCCTCTGCCACTACCATCAAGATCTCAGTAAGAGGAAAAGGTTAGTCCCTAAGGAGAGGGTTAAAGTTAGGCTTGTCCCTAAGTCAGAGGGTAAAGGGTTCTGGGAATTAGCAAAAAAAAAAAAGTGTTTTAGAAGTGATTCTGACTTATGACCAAAGAAAAGTCTCTATAGAGATAATCTGTCCTCAACAACAGCTACCATGGCTCCTCCAGGCTATGGCTGCTTAGGCGCCAACCCTTTGGCACGGGTGTCTTCAGTGATACAGACACCACTGTCACTGTGCGTGCATGTATGGCGGGGGGGTTATGAGAGAGAAAGGGAAAGACATCACATGTTTGGACCCTGGCAGCATCCAGAATCCAGGGGTCCTTACTATGACCCCCACACCTGGAAGCTTCAGAAGGAGGTGATGGTAGGGGCAGGACTCCCCAGCACGCTGTCTTTACACTGCAGCCAGGGAGACCCAATGCCACATTACAAGAGCTAAAAAGAAAAGGAGAGGCACAAAAAGGCTGCTGGTGGCTGGGGGCTCACCCAAGGCGCTTTTTGCAGGAATGTGGCAGACAGTGAGAAATGTTTCTTTTGAAAAAGCGCATAGACGTACATATCGGATGTACTTCTGCATGACCTCCTCCAGGGGTCGCAGACCCTCCTTGAGAAAGATGGATGGGTTCCACATGGCAGCTCGGGCCACCATTACCGAAGAGGCTGCTGTGGCTTGTCGAAAGTCCTCTATGTCCAAATACTTTTGGATGTGGTCATGAGATCCTCCACTGAAAGGCAACAGGAGAGTGAGGGCTGTCCCCATCCTTATACCAGCATTTTCAGAAAAAGGCAATTCTCAGAGCTGCTGAAATTAACTGTTTGGATTTGGCAAAATCCTTCAGCTATGAGCACTTCGGGAGACCAGAGGTCATAATACACACCCCACTTTGGGGTCAGGAACTCCACGTCAAATAATGCAGCGAAACAGCCTGAACCAGGCCTCGTACGTAACAGGTCTCCCAAAGATTTTACCTTCCTTCCTCCTCATCCTAAAGCCATCCCAAATCTGAAGACTCGGGTCTGTCAGTAGATACTGGGATCACAGGAGAACCCCCAGTCTGGGGCACCTATGTATCTACTAATGGCTGGGTCAAAAACCACAGACGCAGTGGTGATTATGAGAGGAAGGAAGGAGGCCCAGTTTGGTTGCAATTTCCCTTCCTGCCACCCTGAGGCCCCAAGGGCCCCCTTGGAAACCGCTGTTTGCATCCGTTCCACTAGAAGTCAAGTAACAGCCTCAACCCAGAGACAGCGTTTTATGTATTGTGGGGAAGACCCTTGGGTGGCAGCAGCAGTAGCAGGATCCAGGCTCTTGAGTAGCTCTACCCTCTCCAAGCCACTTCTACAAATCCTTGGCCTAGCGACAACCAGGCCTGGCTAAGACCCCCAACCTTAGTTCCCTCCCTCCTTCCCACCAGTCAGGTGTGCCTTTTGTCAGGGCTTCAGGGCTTTGGAACTTCTCTGTTTCCATCCTGTCCTCAGACTCTGCGCCCTCCCAAGGTGCAAGGCTCCACTGGATCCCAACTGGCCCACACAGCCAGCTCCCCAGTGACAACTGGACACTGTCTTACTATTAAGTCTCCAGGCTGATCATTTGTGCCTCACAAATGTCTCCGCTCCTGGTCCTGTAGATGCCCAGAATGCTTTGGACTGTGACCTGCCTTATGCCCCCTAACCATACCTCTGTACACTCTGGCTTGGGACTACTCACCCTACACCCTGCATACCTAACTCTGGGTGTGACATCACTTTGCCCGGGGCCTGCTTCAGGGGCCGCCTTCTCGCTCTCCTGGTCGCCCGAACACTCCCTTATCTCAACCCCTCTATCAGAACGCCCTGCCTGCTGCACACCTACATCAGCCACTCACCAGAGGCCACGGGACATGATACAGACTTTTCAACCTCATGCCCAACCTCATTTTTTGCCCCTTCTTTCTTTTTCCCTCAGATCATTTTTTAATACTATCTCCATCCACTTTTTGTATGTCAGCTCAAATCCCCCAGAGTGAGGTAGAGCATAAAATAGTAAATGATGAAGAAGAGAGGCTTACTTGGCTATGACAGGAATGGAGAGGGCTTCAGCAATGGCTCTGATGGCTTCACAGCTGACAGGGTGCTGAGGTCGTTCCTCTCGCTTCCTTGGAAATAAAGAAAAAAGATGGGGCAGAGGGCTCAGGCTGTGTCATAGTTCAAACAGTTTACCTTAGTCAAACCCTACTGTCCTCCCTGCTGAACCTCAGGAAGGACACGTGACCATGAAGAACAGGGTTCTGGACTGCAGAGGACGTCTCTCCATGACCTCTGTTGTAAGGGGCAGGAGCAGCATTAGCCCCTGCTGAGAAGGCAAGTCCAGCCTTACAGGCCTGCAGGTGAGGCATGGCTGCAAAGGTGGCCTGGCTCCCAAGGTCACGCCGCCTTTCCCTGGCTTCCCCTCACCTCTGCCAGAGATGAGGAACAGTGCTATAAGAATGCTGCCTCTACTGTCCCGGCCCTGCCCTCTCTACGAGACTGGGAACAGCTGCTGCCCTCAGACTGGCCACTCCCACACAGCTGTCTATGTTGAAGCCAAGTTGGGCAACTGATCCTGGGGAAAGGTACCTGGCACAGGGTAGACCCAGAAACCAGGACAGGCCACAGATCATGGCTGTCACAACGAGCCCCAGCAAGGAAGGACCACAGCCTGTGGCCCCTCTTTCCAAGGTTAACTGCAAGAAGTTCTTGTGTACAAGTCAGTCTTAGGGATACTGAAGTGAGCTCTGATCTAAGTTGTGCTCAGGAACAAGCAAAAGAGATGGGTGACCAGACAGCTCTTGCTCAGGTCTTGCCTGGGCCCATCCCTTTTGGTATACTCCTCAATAGAAGGGTCAAGGGCCACAGGACCTCAGAAGGCCTGTCAACCCATCTTCCACCTCCACCTCCCCACAAGCCCAGCAGCCAGTCTAGTCCATCCTCAACAGCTTTGATGGCCTGAAGGCCCTTCTTGAAATGCACCCAAATCTGTCTTCCTGGTGTTTCCAACTACTGGCAAAAAGGAATAGCTATATTTATTCAGAGAATACCATACGCCAGGCACCATGCCAAGGCTATATATTCACGATCTCATAAAAGCCTCAAGACAACCCTATAAAACAGAAATTATTTTAATTTCCAAATGAGGAATGTGGTACTCAGAGAGGTTAAGTGATTTGTACAAGGATACACAGCCAACAAGCAGCAGAGCCAGGAGCCCAAACCAGGCAGCCTGAGCCTAGAGCCTGCTGTGGCAGGTAGGGGCATGTGTGTACGTATGTATGGCCTTTCACTGCCCCCTACTGGCTTCAACCCACACAGCTCTGCTTTTCTCTTTTCCCTGTTGGGAGTTATGGGTTCACTTGTCTGAAATGCTGGAATAGAAACAACTAGCAAGCAGTGGGCTGTTCCAACAAGACCCCTGAACCCAAAAGGAGAAACACTCAGAGAAGGCGGGTCACTCTGGCCAAAGTCTGTTTACCTGGGATGTACAAAAGCACATCGTAGACACAGGGAGCAAAACTGCCTGGGAAACCAAAAGCAGCTGTCAGCAACACGTCAGCTCCCAGAAGATAGCACATTAGCTACAGATACAAGGGCTGTTTCAAGTAGTCATTGTGACAGCTGGCAGTCCAACGAGGGCAGACAAAAGAGACAGTGCCTTTAAAAGAACAGCCATCTTCCTGGGATCATTCGAGGGAGAAGCCATGGCCCAACGTAGTGGAAAGAAAATGAGATTCAGAGTCAAGAGTTCTAATTCTACCACTTCCTGGCTGCATGGTACAATTCTGAACCTATCACTCAATCTCTACCATTTACACATCCTGAGGGTATGGGCATTTCTTCTTCCCCTTGAGTCTCTAAACTCAGTCTTCCTCTTCTTCTGTCTTTAAACTCAGTGCAGTGTCTACCACCAGTAGGTGTTCAGTGAATGAAAGAAGAATGCCAGCCTATGAAGGGTTTGACTGCCCTCAGGACCTATAGGATGTCAAAAAGCTAGGCAGAGGTAGGCTGCATGTGTAGAAGAAAAGTTCACTGTCCCCTGGGGTCTGGAGAAGCATTGTCAAGATGGTTGAGGACCAGGGCGCCTAGGTGGCTCAGTCCATTAAACATCTGCCTTCAGGTTGTGATCCCAGGGCCCTGGGACAGATCCCTGAGTTGGACTCTCTGCTCAGCAGGAAGTCTTGTTTCTTCCTCTCCCACTCCCTCTGCCCTCCACCCCCCACTCATGCTCTCTCTTGCTATCTCTCTGTGTCTCTCAAATAAATAATCTTAAAAAAAAAAAAAAAAAGACAGCTGAGAACCTCCCTCCAAGTCAGTCACTAGATACACAACCACTCACCTTCCGTGAACTGTGACAGCAGCAATGCCAGTCCTCTCTATCCGCTTCACAAGGCTCAAGGTATCTTCCAGCTGAGAAAGAGGACAGCCCAGGGTGGTTACTAAAGCTACAGAGGGAACAGCTAGCTGCCAGCTCCCAAAGTGGGTTCACCAACCCCTCTTCCAAACCTAATTCAGCTCCTCGAGAATCATTCACCACCCCCCAAATCAACACACCCAGAGAAAATGGACCTTGAAATGTAAAACACCATCCTTACCGATGGCAGGATGCGAATCTTGCAGGTCACAGGTCTGCGTGTCCCTTTGACAAGAGTGCTGAGGATCTGCAGAGAGGAAAACACAAACTATTCTGGAAAAACAACTACAATGCTCATATTAATTAACTGTGCTACAGACCTGTGCATCACCATGGCATGGACAAGTCTATGTACATGTATGTGTCCTTCCTTTCCTACACTAGCACCCCTGCACCAGAAGCCCCTTCTCTGGTACACCGTGGTGTGCATATGTTTGGTAAGTGGATGAATGAGTGGATCTTCATGCATGCCTACGTAGAACACAGTAATCCTTTGCCAGGTAAACATCAGAATCTTCTGGACAGCCTAAGAAATACAGAACCTTAGATTCCACCCTGTACTTCCTAAATGGGTCCCTAAGTGGGCAGGGCTTAGGAATATGTGTTTTCAAAAGACTCTGTATCATTCAGCCATAAGAAATGAGGAAATCCTACCATTTGCAAGAAACATGGATGGACCTTGAAGTGTTATGCTAAATAAAATAAGCCAGAGAGTTGGGGCGCCTGGGTGGCTCAGTGGGTTAAAGCCTCTGCCTTCAGCTCAGGTCATGATCCCAGGGTCCTGAGATCAAGCCCCGAATCGGACTCTCTGCTCAGCAGGGAGCCTGCTTCCCCCTCTCTCTCTGCCTGCCTCTCTGCCTACTTGTGATCTCTGTCAAATAAATAAATAAAATCTTTTTAAAAAAAAATAAGCCAGAGAAAAACAAATACAGTATGATCTCACTTATATGAAGAATCTAATAAAAAGGAAAGAAACTGGAAAAAGAAATCAGATTTATGGTTACCAGAGGTGTTGGGAGCGGGAGCTGGAGAAAGTGGTCAAAAGGTACGAACATACAATGTACGACATAATGTCTGCAGCTAACACTGCTGTATGATACCCGGGAAAGCTGTTAAGAGAGTAGATCTTGGGGCACTTCAGTGGCTCAGATGCTTAAGCATCTGCCTTCAGCTCAGCTCATGATCTCAGAGTCCTGGGATTGAGCTCCACATTGGGCTCCTGGCTCAGCGAGGTGTCTGCTTCTCCCTCTCCCCCTGCCTCTCTCCCCTACTTATTCTCTTTCTCCGTGTCTCAAATGAATAAACAAACAAACAAAAAAAATCTTTAAAAAAGAAGTGTAGATCGTAAGAGTTCTCATCACATTTAATTTTGTTTTTATCCTTAAAGTACAGTTGACCCACAATGTGACATTAGTTTCAGAAGAGTTTTTTAAATTTTCATTTTATTGTATCCATATGAGATGAGGGATACAGAATACAGGTAAGCCTACTGTGGTAACCACTTCACAATATTTGTAAATCAAATCATCATGCTTGTATGCCTTAAACTTATAGAGTGATGTACATCAATTTCTCAGTAAAACCACAAAATCTTTTCAATTTTTAAAAAAAGTTCAGTCTGGGGCGCCTGGGTGGCTCAGTCGGTTAAGTGTCTGCCTTTGGCTCAGGTCATGACCCTGGGGTCCTGGGATTGAGTCCAGCATTGGGCTCCCTGATCAGCAGGGAGTCTGCTTCTCCCTCTCCCTCTACCTCTCCCCACTGCTTGTTTGCGCTCTCATATAAATAAGATCTTTTTTTAATTTTTTTAAAGGTTCAGCTTAACACCCTCCCTCCTCAACATGATTCTGAGGCCTCATTCTGACTGAAAAGACATGGCCGAAAGCTTCTTTCCTGCTTGAAACCAATGTTCTCCATGTGCTGTTCCAAGATCTGGCGAATGAGGGAGCCAGGAAGGTTGTACAGGTCCTGCCTGAGCCCTGGCCTCATGAGTCTCTCTCTATTTCTTTCTCTTTTTTTATTTTCCTCATGTGCCTCTCTTTAGGTGAGCTGGATACACAGAAGTGAAATCAGCAAAGGAAAAGACAACATATTCAACACATTAAAAAGTATAATTTGCACAGTAATTGCAAAGGACTTCAAAGAAAGATCAAGAAGTCACACAGGGGGGCGCCTGGGTGGCTCAGTGGGTTAAAGCCTCTGCCTTCGGCTCGGGTCGTGGTCCCGGGGTCCTGGGATTGAGCCCCGCGTCGGGCTCTCTGCTTACCAGGGAGCCTGCTTCCTCCTCTCTCTCTCTCTGCCTGCCTCTCTGTCTACTTGTGATCTCTGTCTGCCAAAAAAATAAATAAAATCTTTAAAAAAAAAAAAAAAGAAGTCACACAGGAAAGAGTCAGATCACATATGAATCAGAGATCGAGGGACATGCAGATGACAATGAACGTCTGCTGCACTGCTATATTCTTCCCTCGTCAAAAATTTCAGGCTTAGGGCACATGGCTGGCTTAGTTGTAGAGAATCCAAATCTTGATCTTGAGGTCACGAGTTCAAGCCCCACATTGGGTATATAGAGATTACTTTAAAATAATAATGTTTAAAATTTTTTTTAAAAATTCAGGCTAGGCAAGTTGGAGGGAAGGTGATCAAGAGCCCTCTTCCAAGAACTGGATTGCCGGCAGAGCACAGGGGACACCGAGACCACTGCTGTCAGTCTTGGTTCTCGACAAGTGGGGGCAGCAGAGAGCCAGATTGCAAGAACCAGTCAAGGAAGGCTTTCTCTCCAGCCCAAGCAGAGATTGACCTCTCCAGAAGACACTAGACCAACAGGCTGGGCTGACAAGGCAGGGAGACAGATCACGGACAAGAGAGGACCTACTGGCCTAATAAGCACAAATGCCAGGGACTGGCAGGAAGGAAAATCCCCAGATGCCACCCCAGGAGGTGGACTGGGTCTGTGGTCCTGTGGCAGCCCTGAACGGGGCAACTATCCTTTGGCGGGGTGGGGTGGGGTGGACGACTGCCAGATCCACTGAGATACACAATAAAAATTCTCCTTCTAGTCCTGTCCTTCAGGCTGACAGTACCATCTCTGGAAGATTCCTTTGCTAGTGCTGACTTAGAATGTGCTGATGTTTGGTGACTAAAACAACATCAGCTGGTTTGATCCAGTTCCGTTCTACAGAACTTCCTTTGCCGTATTTCATCCAAGTAGCTCTAAGCACTTTCTTTTTCTTGTGCGTGTTCAGAATCAGGAAGGAAATTAGTAATCAAAATCCCTAGCCACCTGCAAAGGGTCACATTAAGGGGACCGGGTGAATAGAGACTGTTTCTGGCTAGGCTCTAGCTTGAAACCCTGCTGGACTCAACTCTCCCAGATCAAAGTCAGACCACCTGTCTTGTGGTGGGAAAGTTTGTGGGGGAGAAGGACCTGAGGTAAGCTCATAACACAGATAACACTGCAGACCTACCCACAGGCAGGCTTGTCTCACTAGATCTCCTAGCTGACTCAGGAAAAGCAGACTCTTAGCTCTCCTGGTTGTTGTAGAATGGGTAGAAAGGAAGATGGGAGAGCACAGGCTTGGGAATCACTGGGAACTGAGTTCAAGTCCTGACCCTGCCAACTGTTAGTCATAGCCCCAGTGTACCATGCACAGGGGAATGCCCTGGGCAGCCAGGGGGGCCCAGGAAATCTTGGGCAGGGGTGAAGAGGGATATTACTAACCTAGAGTCTAAAAATGAGGTTCTTGGGGCGCCTGGGTGGCTCAGTGGGTTAAGCCGCTGCCTTCGGCTCAGGTCATGATCCCAGGGTCCTGGGATCGAGTCCCGTGTTGGGCTCTCTGCTCAGCAGGGAGCCTGCTTCCCTTCCTCTCTCTCTGCCTGCCTCTCTGCCTACTTGTGATCTCTGTCAAATAAATAAATAAATAAATCTTTAAAAAAAATAAAAATAAAAATGAGGTTCTTAATCTAGGGAGGGTACATCAGAGTTACCTAGCAAGCCTTTTCAAAAGACTAATACTCCTTCCCAGCCACTATCCACCCCAAGGATATTACAGAATTTCAACTGATAGAATCCTTATCATTATTATTATTGTAATAAGATATATATAACATAAAATTTTCCATTTTAAACATTTCTAAGTGTATAACTCAGTAGCATTAATTACATTTGCAATGTTATACAACCATCACCATCACCAGCACCTATTTCTAAAATTTTTCATCACCCCAAACAAGTATCTTTATTTTGAAAAAATTCTGCAGGCAGTCCTGAAATGTTCCCACAGACAAGAACCATGGACCTAAAACACCAGCCTGGAAAAACTCACAAAGTTCTCAGCCAGGTCACCCAGTCTGCCAGCCAAGTTTGAACATGTATCTAATCCAGTTCACTACTCTTGGGTCCCATCTGGCTTTGTCGTGGAAGCCTGCAACCTCCTTGAGGCAAACCCCATTCACAAGTCCAACCGGGCCCATCCAGCCACTCTCCACCAAATGGAAAAGGAATGGAATGAACTGAGCAGTGTAACTCTGCTGCCTCATGTACAAAATGTGCCTTATCCAAAGAGGGGCCGTGGAGAAGACCGAGCCAACAGTATGGGAGGGAGAAGCCAGGAGGCTGGAGGACAGGGTTAACAAAAATGTCTGTGGGCACATGTTGTAAAGCCAAACCATCTCACACTGGGGCCCTCTCCCCAAGTGTGGTGATGAATTTAACATCCACAGTTGTCCAAATCCACTCCATCCCACACAGAGGTGTCTGACTAGAGGTTCCTAAGCCCAGACATCTACTGATGAGACACTTATAAATGACACCCAGGCACCCTAAAACTGAGATACCATCAAGAGGGGACAACTGATAACCGGGGTAGGGGCCACAAAACCATGGCTCCAGCCTTAGCTCCGCCTGCTACTTATTTGCTACATACTCTTGAGCAAATTGCTTTTATCTCTCTGTGCTTTAGTTTTATTATTCTTGATCAAACAGACATTAACAAATGTCTCCCCTGTCTATGTCAAGGGGTTGGAGGAACAAATTGAATATACACAGATATATCTACTTGTACCTATCTGCACATGGGAAAAATGGAAAGGCAGCAAGGCCGTCAACACACTGGTCTTCCTAGATCCCAAAGACAGCAGGGCTGGAGGAGTACACACGGTCGAGCTGCTGCAGGGCAGCCAGCACAGATACGGGCAGCTTCTGTTTACTGGCGCGTTAGTCCATGCTGCTCTAGCCTGTGGGAGCCACTAGGAGGCTTAAAGCCCAGAGAGGGGGGTAGGAATGGAGAATGAAAACAAAGGAGCTAAGAGGAGCAACAAACAGAAAGCTGATGGACTGAGAAAGAAGTAAAAGGTATGTATGGTGTAGCAGAAAATGTCACACAGGCCCTGGCAGCTCCCAACACGGGTGGCAAAGGCCAACCTGTCTGCAGGGCCTCATAAACCTGGCCTTTGGAATTGCCAAGGGAAGGGGACCAGAGGTGACCAAGTACAGCTTGCCTCACATGACACTGGCCTGATGGCTCTCAAAGGCTGCTGGCAGACTCTACCAGAAGGGAGGAAACCCACTATTGCAAGCCCCCTGGGAGAGGCCATCCCCACCCCCAACGCCACTGAGTCCGTCCACAGTCCACACGTAGCCTGGAGTATGCTCTCATGATCTTCTCAGAAGGGACACAGGCTACACGGAGGAGGTTCTAAATGCTCCTCAAGGCCCCGGCTCTCAGTCCACATGTTCCTAAGCCCTGGACTTTTGAGTAACTCCAAGGCTGCTGTATGCTCACTCAGGGGTTCCCAAAGCTGGCTGTATGTCACAGTGACTGGGAAGCCTTTCGAAAATTTCCCAGACTCCGGGGGCACCTGGCTGACTCAGTCAGTAGAGCATGCAACTCTGAATCTCAGGGTCATGAGTTCAAGCCTCGCGGTGGGCACAGAGCATACTTTAAAATAAAAGGTGGGGGTGGTGCCTGGGTGGTGCAGTTAGTTAGCAACCAACTCTTGGTTTCAGTTCAGGTCATGATCTCGGGGTTGTTAGATCAAGCCCTGTATTGCTCCGCACTCAGCGGAGTGTGTCTGCTTCAGATTCTCTCTCTCTCCCTCTGCCCCTCCCGCCCATGCGCTCTCTCTCAAATAAATAAATCTTTTTTTTTTAAAGATTTTATTTATTTATTTGACAGAGATCACAAAGAGGCAGAGAGGCAGGCAGAGAGAGAGAGAGGGGGAAGCAGGCCCCCTGCTGAGCAGAGAGCCCGATGTGGGGCTCGATCCCAGAACCCTGGGATCATGACCTGAGCTGAAGGCAGAGGCTTTAACCCACTGAGCCACCCAGGTGCCCCAGTAAATCTTTTTTTTAAAGATTTTTTTAATTAATTAATTAATTTATTTATTTGACAGAGAGAGAGATCACAAGTAGGCAGAGAGGCAGGCAGAGAGAGAGGGAGAAGTAGGCTCGCCGCTGAGCAGAGAGCCCGATGTGGGGCTCGATCCCAGGACCCTGAGATCATGACCCGAGCCGAAGGCAGAGGCTTTAACCCACTGAGCCACCCAGGCGCCCCAAAGATTTTTTTCTTTTTATTTGACACAGAGAGAGTGAGTGAGGGGGAGAGAACACAGGCAGAAGGAGAGGGAGAAACAGACTCTCCACTGAACAAGGAGCCTAATGCGGGGCTTGATCCGTGCCTCTCAAATAAATACATCTTAAAAAACTTAAAAAAAAAAAAAATTTCCAGGTGGATTAACTGATTCACTAAATCTTGGGGGGAGGGGCGGCAGCAGGAGGGTGGATGTGTTCCAGACGACTCTAGTTCCCAGGCATGTTTAAGGACCTCTGCTTTCACTTCTGCAGGACTTACCTTCTCAATCTTGTCAGGGTCTGATAGCAGAGCAGCTCCCATTCCTCCCTAAGGAAAAGCACACAGAGGGTCTTCTTATAGCTGGAGGAGGGTGCTCCCTTCCCCATAGTATGGCAATGTGGTGTGGCAAGCGGGCACCACCCCAGCACTCACAGCCAAGTTTCACTGGCAATCAGCACTTCCAGTCAAGCAGGAGGAAGCAGCATCCAGGCCCATAATGTCAGAGATCAGAGTTGGATGAATTCTAAAAGTCATCACTCTGATCCTCTTTGCAAAACCCACAGATCCATCTACAAGTGGGTGCTACAAAAATTGTTTCTCAGGAGTGCCCATTCTCTCCCCAGGGTCTTAGAGTCTTAATAAACTAAACCCCACAATATGGCAAGCCCTTACGAAGGCAATGAATCCTTTTCCCTTTGGAATGAGATTGAGTACACCTTTGTCCTATCCTCCCAACACTTGTTTTGGTACCATCACTGCCAGCAAAGGCACTTAGAGGAACATAACTGGCAAATCTTGGCCAGGCTCTTCTTCCCTACCAGCAACAATGCTCCAGACCAATGTCAAGCTCTAGCAAAAGCCCCAGCTAGTGGAAACCAACAACCGAAGGAGCCACTTAAATCTTGACCTTAACAACAGTAGCTGCCTCTTGATGGTGGGATTATTGATGACTAGTCCTTTTTTTTATGCTTCCACCAAGTTCTGGACAACGGTATGAACTACTTTAATAGTCGGGAAAAGGGAGGACCTTCCCAAAGATGAACCCATTAAAAAATGAGGTAAAGGGAGAAAAACAAATCCAATAAATAAATCCTTTGTCAGTACATAGACTGCGTACTAATGAAAGCTCACAGGATGTGCTCAAAAGTTTGACGTTCACTTATTACAGCTTAATTTCATTTTTAAGGATGACAGATTAGAATCAGAGAACCCAGAACCACCGCAGACTTGGCCAGCCGGAGCCTGAATGTCAGAGGAAACTGGGAAGGCAGAGCCCTGGCCCACCTTGGCTACAGATGCAAACCTCAGAAGCCTTAAGGAGGCCCCAGCCACTCACCCTGGCTCCATCCGTCCACCTCACACATAGTCACAGCCTTTCCTTCTGGAATCACAGGATCTAAAATCTAGGCCTTCCACAACAATGGCTTTGTCAATTTGTATTTCCTCCCTTCCTTCCTTCCTTCCTTCCTATTTAACTTATTTGCTTTTTTGAATACGTAACACATTAAAAATGTTAAAGGTTCAAAAGGGTAAAAAGTTAGAACTCTCCTTCCCTGAGAAATAGAAAACTTTTCAATTTATACCTTTTATAAGGCTTCAGTTTTTGAACCATGAGAAGAGAAGAGAGTGGCTCTTCACAGGCTATGTACTGGTATAGCATACTGGTAGTATCTGTTCTGACTGGTCGGGGCCAGTGCCGTGCCAGATATTAGCTATTTTGAGGAGCACCCCTACAGTGGGAATTTATTCCTTATGCCAAACCAAATAAAAACTTGGTTTCCTTCCCCAGGGAAAACCAGTGTCACTAGCTTCTTGTGTATCTTTCCAAATATATTCTATGAAGAGAAATATAAACATATGGAAACATCCATCCCTCATCCTTCATATATAAATGGTGGTATATGGTATCTAATTTGGCTCCTTGCTTTTCCATTCCACAATGTATCAGGGAGATTAATTAAGCCAATAATTTAAACTCTGTTCCTTACATATCTCAGAAGCACAAAGGAGTCATTAGAAGACGGCAAAACAAGGTCCCAAGTTTTCCACTCCTCATCGACAATTTCAAACCTCCGTAATTCCTTGAAATAACCGTCTACAAGGCCCTGTGGTTTTCAAGTATCCAAAAAGCCTTCGCTTCAAGTAATCTTTTGCCTCCTGGCCTAAAGCCAAAGTCCCCAAGCCGCGTAACTCCAGGGAGCAGAGGGGCTGACTCTGGGCAGTGGACCCAAGGGGACACCTGCTATGTCTACACTGCAGACCCTGACCGCACATCCTGTGATAAACTCAGCGGCAGCCCCACAGGACTCCTTCTGGTGCCTCACATGCAGCCAACCCGAAGCTGTCCTTGTTATCTGCCCCAAACACATTCTTCCTCCAGCAGTCCCAATCACGTTGAAGACAAACTGTCCTCCTGGCTGCTGTGCTGGTCTTTCCTCCCTCTACCCAAACACTCACCCCACCTCCCCACACCCAGTCTAGTCAGCTGCCACCCAAGTCCCCATCAAATGCTGCCCCAGCTTCACTTCTCCTCTCAGCATCCTTGGTCTCCGCTACAGACCCAGGATACTCATCTCCTAAATACATGTCCCTACCCCTAGCCCATTTCCACTCGAATCTACCAGACCTGGCTTTCAAATTAGTATTTCTATCACAGAATATATTTGGAAAGACTAGTCTAGTTTCCCCTGGGGAAGGAAACTAAGTTTCTGATCACATGGCTTCTCTGTTCCAAAAGGCTAGAAATATCAGAATTCCAAGTTCAGGGGCGCCTGGGTGGCTCAGTGGGTTAAAGCCTCTGCCTTTGGCTCAGGTCATGATCTCAGGGTCCTGGGATCAAGCCCCGCATCGGGATCTCTGCTCAGCAGGGAGCCTGCTTCCCCCTCTCTCTCTGCCTGCCTCTCTGCCTACTTGTGATCTCTGTCAAATAAATAAATAAAATCTTAAAAAAGAAAAAAAAAAAGAAGTCCAAGTTCAGCTAATCTGGCCCTAACCAAGATTTTCAATCCTGTGCTCCTCTGCTTCCTCTTTGTATTCTACTCCCCAACTCTCAAGTCAAATCAAAGTTCTCTGCCTGTACCACATCCTGGCCTTGCCGGGGCCCTGCTCATCCACTCCCTCTGCCTGCAGGGTCCCAGATCATATCAAGGACCACATTTCCCTAGAAGATATTCCGTTTAAGGGCTGCCTTTCCACTCCTTTTTCCAAGCTGCCCCAGCACTCTGCTCTGATCTTCTGATAATGACAAAGGGAACACAAGCATTGCATTCTCTATTTTTTTAAAAGTACATCTGGGTTTTATTCAAGAAAAAAACAAAGGCCTGTTCATAATTTTTTCTTTTAACATTTACATCATTAATTACTCAGGCATGAGTGCTTTGTGTTTATTTAGGTATGTATGTGTATGCAAATAAAATTTTTCCTGAACCATTTACAGGTAAGTCACATTGCATCATAGCCCTTTACAAGTATTTGTGTGTATTTTCTAAAAATTCAGGTATTCTTGAGCACCTGGCTGGCTTAGTCAGTAGAGCGTGTGATTCCAATCTCAGGGTTATGAGTTTGAGCCCCACATTGGGTGTAGAGATTACTTAAAAATAAAATCTTTAGGGGGGCGCCTGGGTGGCTCAGTGGGTTAAAGCCTCTGCCTTCGGCTCAGGTCATGATCCCAGAGTCCTGGGATCGAGCCCTGCATCGGGCTCTCTGCTCAGCGGGGAGCCTGCTTCCTCTCTCTCTCTGCCTGCCTCTCTGCCTCCTTGTGATCTCTGTCTGTCAAAAAAATAAATAAAATATAAAAAAAAATAAAAAATAAAAAAAAAATAAAATCTTTAGGGACAGGGTGCCTGGGTAGCTTAGTCGGTTAAGTGTCTGACTCTTGATTTCAGCTTGGGTTATGATCTCAGGGTCATGGGATCAAGCCCCACACTGGCTCCACGCTCAGCAGGGTCTGCTTAATATTCTCCTCTCCCTCTCCTCTTCCCCTTCCCCCTATACATTTTTTCTCACTCTCTTCCTCTAAAATAAATAGATAAATTCTAAAAAAAAAAAAAAATCTTTAGGAGCACCTGGGTGGCTCAGTTGGTTGAACATCCGACTCTTGATTTGGACTAAGGTCATAATCTTAGGGTTGTGAGATCGAGCCCATGTTAGGCTCTCCACTGGGCATGGAAACTGCTTAGGATTCGCTCTCTCCCTCTGCTACACCTCCCCCTCCCCCGCTCTCTTTCTCTAAAAAAAATACTAAAAATAAAAAAAAAATCTTTATTTTAGTTTATTTATTTATTTATTTAAGTGTGCACATGGAAGCAGGGGTGGGGGATGGGGGTAGTGAGCAGAGAAAAAAGCACACTCCCTGCTGAGCAGGGAGCCGATATGGGACTTGATCCCAGGACCCAGGGATCATGACCTGAGCTGAAGGCAGATGTTTAAATGACTGAGCCACCCAGGTGCCCCTAAAAAAAAAAAGTCTTAAAAAAAAAAAAAAAGAATAGAGATAGTCTAACAAAACCATAGAAGAATTATCAACTTCAAAAGTTATACTGATACAATATTTTTAGCTAATCTGCTATGGTCCATAATCCAATTTTGGCAGTGGACCTAAGAATATCCTTTTGAGCATTTTCTCCATCTAGTATAGGATTTAGTCCAGCGTCAGGTAACGTCTTGTTAGTTGCCTTTACTCTGTACCCTACGTTTGTAAGGCATATAAGGAAATCAGTTTACCTTGGTGGAATACTCTTTTGGACAGCCCATGTTTACATCAATACCAGCCACATCATTTTCCCTGGGAAAACATGAAGTAGGAAAGATAATAAAGATCCAACTTTAGGAGAGAATTTAGAGTCAAAGGCATGGATCTGTGCTCATGAACCTCTTACATTGCCCTGGCCCTTTTAAATATACCAACCCTCAGTGACAGAAGGTGAAAAAACTGGTCTCTGAAAGGTACAACTGCCTTCCCCAAGAAGAGTTGAAGAGGAAGGGCATATTGTGTGCAAATATCTACAAAGGATTAGTTGTAGAGGACTTTGCTACTTGGGAATTATATCAGATAATCCAAATACTGAGGGACAGCCCCACTGAACTTGATCGCAGAGTTCCAGTTCTGACTGGGGTATTAAAAGCCATTTGTCAACACACAGAAGTGACAGGAGTACAAGAGCACCTTCCCAGACCACTGGCTCTAGTAGAAGCTACAGGAGTGCCTTTGCTTGCTGGGCTGCACAGCTGGCTTACTCGAAACAATTTTCAGATATGGAAAGGACCGTTAGCTCATCTTCTGGTGTGTATACAGTTAACAGTCTGTAGCTAATGCCTGAATTCCTTTCCAGCACTAATGTAATTAATAGCTAACATTAATCACTCACTACATGCCACATACTGTGAAGACATTTACGTGCATTATCTCACTTACCGTCACCTATAATGCCAGAGGTAGGTAGTACTACTAGTCTCATTTCCTAGATAAGGAAACTAAGTTCTCCTAGTTGAAGTATGGTTAGTAACTTATGTAAGGTCACTCAGCAAGCAGCAACCCAGAAATCCAACTCCAAAGCCCATCTCCCTAACCGTAGTACTCTCCTGCCTTCGTTAATTTAGGGAGCAATAACCCTTATCTACACTTCATGAATAAACACTAAAAAAGAGTGGCCTGAACAGAGATTATCTGGGATGTGGGTACAATGGGTACATGAGTCCCAGGCCAGCCCTCAGATGCCAAAACAGAGGAAAAAAAAACCAGACACTCTTAACCTGGAAAGAGAAGGTAGAGCACTAAGAAACATAAGGTGCTCGCCTCCAAGGTCACCAGAAATAGCAAAGCTCCACAACCCACAGGAGAGGCAAAGGCAGTCCCAACAAGGGAAGAACTTACACAAGTCTGGCCACAGCAAGGGCTCGCTCTGCATCTGAAGTCCCCTGGGAACAAAAGAGGCTCCATCAGGCACCATCCCTGACACAGGTATAGAGCACAGATGCACAAACACCTCTATGCACACCATGTACGTGTGAGCACATGCACACGGACTTCAGCAAGTACAGTCTGGCTGGCATTCTTCTATTCAACAGCCAGCCCACTGAACTAGCTCACTGTCAGAGGTGAAAATTGAACCTGGAAGGCCTAAAAAACATCCTTGGTGCTGTGATTACTTCCTAACATACAAAAAGAGCTGACAAAATTTTAGAGTGAACATTCATTCCTAAACTCACCACTTATATGCTAAAATCAACATTTTGTTATATTCGCTTTATCATATGTCTACCCATTGTTATTACCATTTTTTAAAAAACGTAAATATCATGCAGAACCTATTTCTGAAAAAGTACTAAGAAATGCCCAAAGTGAGAGAAGAGCACTATAGAGTCATTACAAGCCTAATGTAAATTAACTGCTCTTGAGGAAACCTAGTTTTCTATGGGAAATATACAGACTGTACAAAAACAAAGAACATGAACTGAATAACCAGTTTTATTGGGTTAAAAATATAGAAGTCATGCCAAACAGACAATTCCTACAACAAAGGGAGTTATATTTGACCCCGGAGGCATGTCACAGGGTGCCGGAGCTTGATTTCCTTTAACGGTCTCCGACAGTGTGAACACTCATGAATGACTCTTTGGAAAACATTAAAGAAGAGTCTCAGGGAACCACCACTATGCAACGGAGCCCAGGCACTGAAGGATGAGTAACCCTTGAGAGGACACTCAGCCCCCAGGGATCTCATACCATCTGGAAGACAACCCGGCTCTGTTCTCTTTCGCAGGTGCGGAAGACTACCCGATCATCAGGGGCGACAAAGTCCACTGTGCTGAGCACCTCTGCAAGAAAACACAGACACGCCGGGCCACCCCATGAAGAAGCGAGTTCAACCTAGCCCTAATCCCTGCAAGAAAACACAGCAAAAATATCACTTTGAAGGGGAAAAAGGGATGCTGGAAGTAACAATTCTTGAAAGAAGCCAGTGTGCACGTGGAGGTCTCCGAGGTGCGGGGGATGTCCTAGTCCCTGACTGAGGTGACAGGAGTTACAGGCTGGTTGCTTTACAGTTATCTGTCACACTGCATGCTTGTGTTTTATGCATTTCCCTGGAGCAGTGTTTATATTGCATAATTTTTAAAACGCTGTAAAAAAATGTCCATATGTGGAACCTTGTCTGTGTTTCAGATTCGGCCCAAATTTTCCCACAGGTCACTCTGAAGTTGAGGAAAGTTGCTGTTTCTTAATTAATTACCATGTGCTGGGGACTGCAAGTGCAGATTCCTCCATCACAGTCAACCCTCACTATGTGCACTTATGTACTTGCAAATTTGCCTGCTTGCCAAAACGTATCTGTAACCCCAAAATCAACATCACGGCATTTTCGTGGTCATTCACAGACATACACAGAACTACAAAAAAAGTCAGTCACCTGATGCATGCCTTCCCAGCTGAAGTCAAACAAGGCGAGGCTCTACCTTCTTGTTTCAGCTCTCACACTGTAAATAAGTGTCCATATGATAGTCTATTTAATGTCTTTTTTTTTTTTTTTTTTTTTTTTGCATTTGCTTTTGTTGCTCTCACTGTTGAAAATGGCTGCAAGCACAGAGCCAAAGTGCTATCTAGGGCTCCTAAGCGCAAGAAGGGTGGGAGGTGCCTTAGGGAGAAAATTCACGTTAAACAACCTTTATTCAAACGTGAAATTAGAGTACTGCTGGCTGTGAGTTCAAAGTTTAAATAGAAACACACACAAAACAAGGCTATGTACTGATCTGTTAGTGACAATGTTATGACCCGAGGCTCACTCGTATTTCCCCTGAGGGCAACGGTGCGAAGCCTGCTTCCCCTCTCCCCCACCTCTTGCTTGTGTTCCCTCTCTTGCTGTCTCTCTCTCTCTCTGTAAAATAAATAAATAAAATCTTTAGGGGCACCTAGGTGGCTCAGTGGGTTAAAGCCTCGGCCTTCGGCTCAGGTCATGATCCCAGGGTCCCTGCTCAGCAGGGAGCCTGCTTCCTCCTCTCTCTCTGCCTGCCTCTCTGCCTACTTGTGATCGCTGTCTGTCAAATAAATAAATAAAATCTTAAAAAAAAAAGTAAGGGGCAAAATATGCAGAGCATGATCCCAAGGAAGGGCATATACAGAAACATGCTCTTTTTTTATATATGTGCTTTACTAAACATGTAAAAATCATGTATTATTCCTCTTAGTGATTACCTCTTCAAATACGAGATGGGGGGGATTGGTATCTTCTAGGTTCTATGGGTCTGTAAAAATGATCTTCTCTTAACAAAAAATATAAATCTAAAACAATTAAAGACAAAATTGAGTGATAACTTCTGGTGAACTGATATTAAGATTTCACAAATGTGTATACATTTCAAAAACCTCAAACAACACCACAACTCTAAGCAAAACAGAATCAGCCTCATCAATAAAGCAGAAGCAAAACCACAATTTAGCGCAACCATTTCTATTGCAAAGTACTTACATGCACCTTATCTTACTGATTCTCACTCCAATTCTATGATTTAAGTAAAGCAGGGGTTTTGATTTTCATTTTACAGTTGAAGAAATGGAGGCAGAGAAGTCATATGATTGCCCAAAGTCTAGCCCAAAGCTAGAGAGTGGCAGAACCAAGAACAATGCTGAAGCCACCCTGACCCCAAGGCTTTTAAGGCCACTTCTCTACTATGAAACCCGTTAATTTCTAAGCCTGCAAGCCTGTGGGTGGAAGGTATTTTCAGCCTATTTCACATCTGGCTTTTTGTCAGAGTCTCTGGATAGTAGTGACTGTTGTCAAGGGAGCACATGATCCACGAAATCACGCAGCCAGACAAGGAGCACACTGAATGGACACAGTCACCCCAGGCAAGGGCAGGGTTGGTTAGTGCTGCTTGGGCCTGACCAGGCGCACACATAATCCTGGGACCAGAACCACACTCACCATTGACAACTCTCTTGCACTGAAGCATCTTGAGGTCAATCAGCTCCTGTGGAGGAATCAGAGGGCACTTGTCAGTGCTGGTCATGTAGGTCCTGGGTATGGGGGAGGGACCAATACTGGGGGTCACTAATGGGGGTGTTGCTTGGCCTATCACCCTACTACAAAAAACAAATCGTGGCTTTGGGGCAATGTAGTGCTGACCTCTCTGCCTAAGCATGGCAAGCGGGAGCCTAAATGAGCTACCCTTGATCAGCTGCTCTTCCCAGGGACCTTGGAGATGTTGGGGGCCTAGAAAGGATGAGCCACTCAGGGACAGACAATAGACCAGATTATGGATACCTGGACACTTTCCTCCCCTACTAGTCTCAGTTCCGGTGTATTCGCCCAAAGAACCTCCTACCTCATCCCTACGCAAAGAGCAGACAGTGATGGGTGCCCAGGAAATGTCCAAGAACAAGAGTGGGACCAGAGAATAAAAGCAGAGGGAGGCAGATTTGAGATCAATTCTATAAAGATTTTTATTTATTTATTTATTTATTTGAGAGAGAGAGAGAGAGAGATAAGGAGAGAAAGCACAGCAGGGTAGGGAGGAGGGGCAGGGGGAGAAGGAAAAGCAGGCTCTATGGGGTCAGATCCCGGGACCTCGGGATCATGACCCAAGCCAAAGGCAGATGCTCAACCTACTTGAGCCTCCCAGGCCCCGAGATCAAGTCTAAAACTCCTGACCTACATGGGTCACACTGTGGAAACAAAAGGGCTGAGCTCTTTTGCTCTGGACATTTTCAAACAGACTTAGGAAAGAAAGGAGAAAGAGGTTTCTTCAAAATCGGGATCATGAAAATGAAGGGAAAGCTCTCCTGAAGGACTGAGATCCTCTGCCTCTTGGGAGGAGACAACTCTACTGCTTTGTTCAGTGACGCCTTCAATAGATGTGTAAGATAAATCACAAGAGCCAGGTACCTGCCACACTCCCCAGAAGCTCATGCCCAGGGGTTCTGCGGGTCCAGAATAGAGGAAGAAACTCTGCCCCCTGGCACGCATGTCCATACTGACTACCTATGAGCCTCAGCAAGTCCCAACTCCAGCCAGGTGGGTACAACAGCCTTTGCTCCCTCACGGAGCATGTAGGGTGAAAGTGGCCAAAGGGCACCTATTGCATCCACGGGGCTCCCCCTAGCAGACTCATCACCCAGGTTAGTACACACCGTAGGTGTTTCTGTGGCTAGTCCATGTTGTGTTCAGGTCATAAGTACCTGACATCCACCAGGTCTGGCCAAACAAATCACCACCACCAAACAGTTATGGATACATGGTTGGCATCTAAACCCCAAGAACTGTGTGATGTCCCAAGGGATGGACACAGCCCAACACAGAGCCCCTGTAGCCAGCGATCATAGTTGCAGGGGCAGGCAAAAAGGCAAGTGGAGAAGTGGGCAGCACTGAGTGCCCTGTGCTCATAAAAAGCAACTCTGTAGCCAGCCTGAAGTTAGGCTGGAAATGAGCAGGGTAAAGCAAGGCAAGCCCTTGCTGGGGCCCCCAGCCATGCCAGCAGTACCTTGCCCTCTTTGGGATTCCCAAACCCCCCTCCGCCAAGTCATTTACTACTTCTTCAAATGCCAGTTATAGATATCCCTATAATATCTTTGCCTTTACACTATGAACCCCTAAGGAGGATCCTGTGTCCACACAAAAAGGTAGGCTTTGAGGCTTTTGAGGCCAGGTAGCCTGGGCCCCAACAGGAGTTGTTAAGGCAAAACAGCCCTTGAAATGTCTTATTCTCTTTTCAGTTTTCCCACCACATCAAAAAAGCCTTTGCGGCCTGGATAACGTCTCACTCATCTTCCAATCATTAGCATCTGGCATGTTGCAAGGGCTGACTCAACTTCTGCCAGAGCCTCTTCAAGACCTTGCCCACAGCAGATGTTCAGCTGCTGAAGTGGAGAAATTAAATTGTCACCAATAAAACCACAAATGTGTCTCCTCACCCACGTACCCTCAACACCACTATAAAATTCATCAATTTTATTCATTTCAGTTAGTTCTGCAGGGATAAAATGGAACCTCATGGTTTTTTTCACTGTATTTCCTTGATTAGTGAAAACAAACATTGTTTTTCCAAGTGCTAGAATTTATGATCCGTGCATCTTCATAGCAAACTGCCTTTTACACCTACACAAGTTGTAGGAAAAAGTCTACTCTTTGTCAAATTAGATATTGAGTTCTTCCATCTTAGTCATCACAAGGATTTTTCTTCTACCACTACTACTTCCTCGGGTTTTTTGTTTTTTTGTTTTACCTACACCCTGGTTTTTTCTTTCTTTTTTTTTTTTAACTTCTTTAAAAGATTTTATTTATTTATTTATTTGAGAGAGAGCGTGCACACCGCGCATGAGAGGGGGAAGGGCAGGGGAGAAGTAGACCCCTTGCTGAGCAGGGAGCCTGATGTGGGACTCAATCCTGGAACTCCAGGATCATGATCTGAGTTGAAGGCAGTCACTCAACCAACTCAACAAACTTCTTTTTCTATTTTTAATTGAAGTATAGTTGACATATAATATGTTACCTTCAAGGGGCACCTGTGTGGCTCAGTGGGTTAAGCCTCTGCCTTCGGCTCAGGTCGTGATCTCAGGGTCCTGGGATCGGGCATCGGGCTCTCTGCTCAGCGGGGAGCCTGCTTCCCCCTCTCTCTCTGCCTGCCTCTCTGCCTACTTGTGATCTCTGTCTGTCAAATAAATAAATAAAATCTTTAAAAAAAAAAATATGTTACCTTCAGGTATACAACACAGTGATTCAACAATTCTACATATTATGCAAAGCTCACCACAAGTTTAGTTACCAGGTGTCACTACACAAAGTTATTACATTATTATTGACTATATTCCCTAAGCTGTACTTTTTAACCCCATGACTTACTTATATTATAACTAGAAGTGTGCACCTCTTAACCTCCTTCACCTACTTCACCCATCCCCCAACCTCCTCCCCCGGTAACCACCAGCTTGTTCTCTGTATTTATGAGGATGTTTCTTTTTGTTGTTGTTTTTGTTTATTTGCTTTGTTTTTTAGATTCCACATGTAGTAATATCATACAGTATTTGTCTTTCTCTGTTGAGTTATTTCACTTAGCTTAATACCCTCTAGGTCTATCCATATTGTCACGACCCTCATTTCTATTATACATAATGTTCTATTTTTATAGAAGAGACCACCTTAACTTTGCCATGAACAGTGCTTTCTACTTTCTAAATAAATCTCCATTATGTATTTAAGGATATAATCTAAATTATTTTTTTCTTCTTTTTAAAATTAATTTAGATTTTAACTTACCTGAAAATTAGGGCCATTTGTAAGTCATTTTTTTTCTTCAAATAACTACCCAATTTTCTGAATAACATTTTATTTTATTTTATTTTAAAGTAGGCTTCATGCCCAGTGTGGGGCTTGAACTCAAAACCCTAAGATCAAGAGTCACATGCTCTCCCAACTAAGCCTACCAGGCACCCCACAACATTTAATTTTAAAATGACTTAGGGATACCTGGGTGGCTCAGTTAGTTAGGCATCCAACTCTTTTTTTTTTTTTTTTTAAGATTTTTTATTTACTTATTTGACAGAGAGAGAGAGAGAAAGATCACAAGTAGGCAGAGCAGCAGGCAGAGAGAGAGGGGGAAGCAGGCTCCCCACCCAGCAGAGAGACTGACGCAGGGCTCGATCCCAGGACCCTGAGATCATGACCTGAGCCAAAGGCAGAGGTTTAACCCACTGAGCCACCCAGGCGCCCCAAGCATCCAACTCTTGATCTCAGCTCCAGTCTTGATCTCAGCTTAGGTATTAATCTCAGGGTCATGAGTTCAGCCCTGAGTTGAGCCCTGCCCAGCATGGAGCCTACTTAAAATAAATAAATAATAAAATGACTTATCATGTACGGGCTTATTCTTTCTTGACTGTCATGTGTTATGTTCCTATATCTGAAATATACTCTGCCACCTTCATCTTCTCCATTCCTCTTGGCTTGTTTTCTCTCCCTGCGCTGATCATAACATTTATCCCCAGTTTATCACCAGTGTCTCTCCAGGCCACCTTTCTACCCCCACCTCTGGTATGTACAGGTACTTTTAGTTCTCTAGTTTGGTTGAAGGATCTTTGTATATCCTTTATTTTCAGAAATACCAATATACTGAGATTGAAAAACTAACCAATTCCCCCCTCAAAAAAAAAAAAAAATTAATGCCAAAATGAATAATGGGAGCCCCTGAAGGATAAGAAGGATAGAAAGAATATTTGAAGAAACAGTGGCAGAAAATTTCCCAAATTTGATGAAAAACATTAATCCGAACACCTAAGAAGCTCAACAATCCTAGTAAAATAAACTCAAAGACAGTCACACCTAGAAATAAACAATCAAACTGCTGAAAACCAAAGGCAAAGAGAAAACCTTGAAAACAGCCTGAGAGAAGTGACCCACCACATACAAGGGATCCACAGTAAGATTAACAACTAATTTCTCAGTTGGTTAAGTGTCTGCCTTCAGCTCAGGTCATGATCCCAGATTCCTGGGATTGAGCCCCATGTCAGGCTCCTTGTTCTGCAGGGAATCTGCTCCTCCCTCTTCCTCTGCCTCCCACTCCCTGTGCTTGTGTTCTCTCTCTCAATCAAATAAATAAATAAAATCTTTTAAAAAAATAAGAACTGATCTCTCATGAGAAATGATGAAGGCCAGGGCGCCTGGGTGGCTCAGTGGGTTAAGCCTCTGCCTTCAGCTCACTCAGGTCATGATCTCAGGGTCCTGGGATCGAGTCCCGCATCAGGCTCTCTGCTCCACAGAGAGCCTGCTTCCTCCTCTCTCTCTGCCTGCCACTCTGCCTACTTGTGATCTGTCAAATAAATAAATAAAAATCTGTTTAAAAAAAAAAATGATGAAGGCCAGAAGAAAACAAGGCGGCAAAGACTGCATACCGAAAACAACAAAATACTGTTGAAAGAAATTAAAGGGGATCTAAATAAATTAAAGACATGACCATGGATTGGAAAACTTAATACTGTTAAG